AAAATATAACAGTACAAATGACTTTACTTGTACAAAACATTTGTAACTTTCTAAATAAAGTTTCTAAACTTCCAAATTTATGAAGTGGGTCATTTTGTCTATGTAAAAGGACTTTCGAGTGTTGGATGATTATTTTGCATTTCTTATGTTTATGCACTTGCTTGATTTTCCACTTTAAATATTTTAAATTTCCTTAAGTAATTGTGGAGAGGATTCAAAATGTCTGTGTATTAAACACATTGCTAGTGTATGTAGTTGTTTAATTGTTAGTAACTATAGCAGTTTGCCATAACTTTGCGTAGGAAACGAAGAAGTAAAGCAGCCTACTCATTGACGTGTGCTACAAAATGTGCCTCTCAGCATTATTTTTCTCACTATAGTAGCAACAGCAGTGTCCTAATAAAATTATGAACATTTATTAATTATTGTAATTTTAGTTTCAAAGATAATTTGTAAAAAAGAGAATCTTTTTGAATTATTTCTTGAGTAAACATGCTCGAAGTTATAGCAAACGGACTGTATGTATCTAGTGAAATAAATAGTTTAAGCTTTATTAAAAGTAAACAGAAATCATTTTGTATGCTATTTTCTTTTAACAAAAATTTGAAAGTTGTGGAATTAATTAGGATTAAATGGTTCCTTAAATACTAAAATACACAGAGCAGCAACAGACCTCTTGTAGGTTACTGTTGGAAACTGGACTACTGAGAGAGAGAAACTCTTGGATCCAGCAGTAGCCTACGAGGAAAGGTGTTGCAATTAAAATAGAATAATCCAATAGAAAAAATATTTTTATTCATTTTATAATTTGTTATTTGTATTTTTGACCATATTTACAACAGTTATCTTTTATATTAAAGTTGACCCCCTATAACACTGTTGATAATTCTGTTTTATATGAATTCCATGTTGTACGAGTCACTTAGATTTTACAAATACGTGAGCCATTTACAGCCCGAGACATGTATTTGTAAAATCTAAGTGAATCGTACAACATGGAATTCATATAAAACAGAATTATCAACAGTGTTATAGGGGGTCAACTTTAATATAAAAGATAACTGTTGTAAATATGGTCAAAAATACAAATAACAAATTATAAAATGAATAAAAATATTTTTTCTATTGGATTATTCTATTTTAATTGCAACACCTTTCCTCGTAGGCTACTGCTGGATCCAAGAGTTTCTCTCTCTCAGTAGTCCAGTTTCCAACAGTAACCTACAAGAGGTCTGTTGCTGCTCTGTGTATTTTAGTATTTAAGGAACCATTTAATCCTAATTAATTCCACAACTTTCAAATTTTTGTTAAAAGAAAATAGCATACAAAATGATTTCTGTTTACTTTTAATAAAGCTTAAACTATTTATTTCACTAGATACATACAGTCCGTTTGCTATAACTTCGAGCATGTTTACTCAAGAAATAATTCAAAAAGATTCTCTTTTTTACAAATTATCTTTGAAACTAAAATTACAATAATTAATAAATGTTCATAATTTTATTAGGACACTGCTGTTGCTACTATAGTGAGAAAAATAATGCTGAGAGGCACATTTTGTAGCACACGTCAATGAGTAGGCTGCTTTACTTCTTCGTTTCCTACGCAAAGTTATGGCAAACTGCTATAGTTACTAACAATTAAACAACTACATACACTAGCAATGTGTTTAATACACAGACATTTTGAATCCTCTCCACAATTACTTAAGGAAATTTAAAATATTTAAAGTGGAAAATCAAGCAAGTGCATAAACATAAGAAATACAAAATACTCATCCAACACTCGAAAGTCCTTTTACATAGACAAAATGACCCACTTCATAAATTTGGAAGTTTAGAAACTTTATTTAGAAAGTTACAAATGTTTTGTACAAGTAAAGTCATTTGTACTGTTATATTTTATAATATGTTCATATAATTAATGATTTACATCTGTATAAATTGTAAACATGCATGGACATACAAATTTAAACACAAAAAATATTTAATATCATTCAAAGTTAAAGGGATTATGACTTGCCAATAATCATTAAAAATAATTTATGTTTACTAAAACAATTGCATATGTAAACAAAATTTAGTCTGGTATCATAAGGGTATTGAAGATTATAGATTTTTCCCAGACCCATTGAGGATCGTGTGGTTTAATTCAATGGTATTTGATGTTTTAGAAACAAATTTTATAATTAATGAGTATAAGAAATAATGAAAAAGGCAAACTATTACGCTTAAAAATTTCAAACAAAAATTTAATGTAGCCATTTCAAACTCCGCACTCAAAGGAAATGAAGGCAACAAACACTTGAAAAAAAAAAAAAATGTTATTCTTGTTAACCAGGTATAATTTTAACAACTTGAACAAAAAAAAAATCCATCAAAAAGTTTAATAACTTTCCCAGCTATTATGAGATCTTATTTAAAACATAAGTTATATTGTAATTAAAAGTATAAAAATTAACAGATGGCACCCCACACAATTTTATTATGAGATTTTGTTATAAAAAACTTTCTATATTTTTAATTATTATAAAATGCAGAAACCTTAATTTTGAGGGTCGAAATGAGTTTTATAAAAATAATATAAATGTTAATAATGAGTAAAATCGTCATTAAGTCTGACCCTACTGGAGATATGCACGACCCCCTTTATCTTCCCACCTATTCGACCTTTAACCACCAAAATTTAATAGCATCAATGCCCCTCATATACAAGCCAACATGCCAAATTTTGTTTCTTAATCTTTACCCCATCCTGAGATATTAAGTGAAATAGATGCCAACACACATATAAATGGAATTTTTTAGATGTTTTTTTTCTGATTTTTTTGGATTCAGGTGGTCTCAAAACATGGAGATTTGCAAAGGGAAAGTATTGAAATCATGTCAAATTTGACACTATTTCCATACTTTCCCTTATGTATAGGTAACAGCCAGAAAAATAAAAATGAACTTCAAAAGCTCTGAATGTAATAGTTTTTTCCCCCAATTTCTCAAAATTGTAACGCTCACAACTATGACCAAATTATACACATAGCTTTAATTGTATGAAAATTTTGTTATAACTGATTTGTAGAAAGTATTATTAATTTAAAAAATTTGTAAAATTGCAGCACGAATTCCTGCAATAAAAATTTATTAAATCATTTTTCTTTTGTAACTGTGCTCGTAAATAGTGATTATAATTTTTAATTATCAATTTCTCTTTAAATATCAGTAAACTATAAACAACAAGTTCACATTACAAAATAATCACTTAATGACAAAGTGATAACATACGGATTTATTCTTGTAGGGTAGTATAAGAACGGTAAGTTTTACTCACCCTGTAGTTAAACTTCTACCATTAAATTACATGGCAGTAAAAATTTGCAATTATTGTAAAAAAAAAAAAAAAGTCTTGTAAAAATGTTCTGGTGAAATATAAACTAAGCAGTATCTTACAACAAAATAAAAAAAAAAATCCGTTGCAAATTGTTACCTTGCAATTAAGGAATATTCCATACCAAACACAAATTTGTTCTTATAATTTATGAAATTTTTTTAGTGTCAAAAACTGCAGACATTTTTTATACAACTTCTAGTTTTCTTTTACAAGGTTTGTAAATTTTTAATAAAATTTTCTTTTAAACTATACCAAGGTGCAATAAAAATTGAGATGCTCTATATTAAATCTTATCGAGAAAGACGACTATTTTTTATAAATAATTCTACATTCAAGATTTAGTCTTCAAAAACATTTATCTTATTTGTTTTTTTTTTCCTCCAACATCTTTACTTTAATGAACATTTTTAGACCTAAAACGTTTCTGGGAGTATTGAACAGGACAGCTCAAATTAACTTCATAAGAGAATGAATGATCAATTGTATTAGCTTACGATCAACCTGTGAAGCAGAATCTTAAAATAAATCTAAACTTAAATATTTTCAAACACTTTTCATTTAAACTCTACAAATGATCTGTATAAAATAAATTTGTATTTTAGCTCGATAATATAACATGTAAGCAAAAATCTGTAAAAAAAAATTCATTTCAGTAGAACCTTGCTTAAATACTTGAATATAAAGTAGTTTTTAAAAACGATAATATTTTAAAAGTAAACTTTACGTAAAACCAACCTCGATAGAAACTTTTGCTGCTTTAAAATAAAAGGGATGAGCACGGAGGACGTCTTCTAGCCTAAGCAATCCTACATATGCTCTTAATGTCATTTTCCTCATACAATATGTATGAAAATCAAACTGATCTTCTATGATCTCTGAAAAATGCTGAAAATTGAATTTCTTCCATTAGGCAATAACTACTATTAATCATATCTCGTTATTATTCTACTAATCATAAAATAACATTATTAAGATTTGATATAGTTATTTGTTTTAATATCTCTAAATAAATAAATTTCAATTTTTAACAACAAACTACTCAAATACATTCACTGCTTATTTCTAAATATTATAATTAAGTAAAATTATAACACTAAAATTTAAACTTGTTGAAAATCTAAAACAGTGTAGGTCAATGACTTAAGATTAATATGCTCCTTTGTCCTAGTTTAGATGGACAATTTTTAAAACACTCTTTCTGCAGGTACTATGATAGCCTTTGTTTGTATCTATAGTAGATACAAACAAGGACAAGGTGAGAGGGCATACCCAAGTCAAGCCAACTGTTAAAATTTCTAAAGATGGATGCAAAATTAAAGTGACACCAAACATCGACTGGCACCACCAATTACCTCTTTTGACCACGACAATCAAAATGGTCAATTGGTTGAGCCCATTGTCAACTTAACTTTTCTGTGACATGCAACATGCATCTTTTAACCAGGTCCCATTCATTTGAATCTGTTCCGCAGCTAAACCTCAGCCATCCAAATGGGTACTGTTTTTCTTTATCTATACAAGTATTTTCTTAACATCAGAGTACTAAGGAAACATCCATTTGTTAATCTGATTATGCATGAAAATAAAAACATTATCCTAATCTGTGTTACACTATAATTTCTAGAAAGTAATCTATAGATAATAGAAATTATACAATAATATAAATTTAAATGATGATAATAGAAAAATTTGCAAATCAATCATATCAAATAAGATATTTTGCATATTGTGCCTTCTGCAATCATCCAGTCTCCAAATTGATATAAATGGGACATTAATTCTGGGATACATCATTATTTATGAAATTTTGTGTCCAAATTTTATTCAATTCTAGAATATTTTTTAATAACATATAAGAAGTGAAGTTACTGATGTTTATTTTCATTTTTAATTCACATAATTATATTTAAAACAAATCAGTTTGAAAATGTGTTTTTCCCTGAAACACTAAGCCCTCCTATGCATCGTCATTGAGTCCAACGAGAAAGCCATAATGTCAAATTTGATTACGTTTTGTACTAGTTCTCATATAAAATAAAGTCAACAGCTTGATCAAAATGAAAAATTTTTCCTTACCCTGTCAATTTCGTGGCATTTTTTTAAGGAATCTCCCCATCTTTCTAACCTCTGATACGCCTGAGCACATTCTGTCTGAAACCACATACATTGCATTTCGTTCAAGTTTTCCATTGCAGAAACACCCTCCTGAAAATAAATTAAATATTACTCTTTTTATGTTTCAAATTAGTTCAAGACAGTTATAACAATTATAAAATATATTTTAAAATGTTAGCATCTTAAAATTACAGCTTTTTTAAAAAATATATAAAATGCAGATTCTTATTCATTTCACAATTTGTAAATTTATCCTTAATCCTGATTTGAACATAAATTAAAAGCATTACAATAACAATTTTTCTATTCACGCTTTACTCCGTTACTAAGGGAGTTAATTGGAAAACAATACTTCAACCCGTAAAGCCTGTGATAAATTATGCTGTAATTTTATTTTGAGGAGTGCAGACAATTACACAAAGCAAATAGCTAGGAGTGCATTTTTTGCACTGGCACTTTAGAAAAAGGGTTATATTCTTTATAAACACATGGATCTCACAATGTTATCAGGTGTTGTTGGTGAAGATCAATAAGATTGATCCTAGTATTAAGCTATAAAAGTAAAAATTAGATAATGTGTATTTATTTATTTATTGGACAACACGAAGAGTTTTACAGAAAACATCAAGTTATCGAGAGTCAAGTTTCTGGGACTCTACTATACTACTCTTTTAACTTGGCATATTGTTTTTCTATTAATGCATTTAAACTATTTACAATAAAATTTATAATAAAATAAATCTGCAGAATCACAGATTATCTTATTAACAAATTTCCTATCTCTGCCAATATCTGAATATACAAAATGGGGTAATTTAATTAATATATTTTGAAAGGTTTAAATTCTGATAAAGCACTGATGTTTGCAATAGTAAGAAAAACAACACTGTAGTTAATAACAAGAGGTCATAGAGCCACAGTAATTTTCAAAAGAATTTTGTCGTTGTCTTCAAAACTTAAACAAACAACAAACATTTCATTAATGGAACTTCCTAACTTATCCAATACCCATATTAAATATAAAATGCATAAAGGAATGCATTTAAAAAAGTTTTTTGAGAGTGATTTGCATGCCAGACGGCATTGTTAGATAACAGCTGAAAATTTTTTTTTATATCAGAAACTGTTTTTTTAGCTTTCTTCTTTATTTTCAATTTGCAAGATCCAAGATTAGAACTTACTACCTTAATAATAGAAAACAAAGGAAGGGACTTCCCCCAAACTGGCAGGAAAATCATTCACAGTTGTTTCAGAATATCTTATAGACTAATAAAGCAGTGTTTGTGTTGGTGGTTTTGTCAACAGATATAACTGTCACTGTTGGTCCAAAGAGTATCAAAAATCATAGCAAAAAAAGTTCAGAAATGGCCTAAGTCACAGTGTGGATTGGCATCACAATGACACATCATTGAGCCTTCCATTTAGAAAGATAAAATGAATGCAAAGCACTACCTCAATATGATGGATAGAGTCTGGAGCCTGTGACTATGCAACAAAGCATTAAAGATGATCTTCACTTTCTGTAAGATGATGCTTCATCACATTTCGTCCACTTGACATACAAGTGGCTCAACAGAAAATTCCGGGGAAAATAGATCGGAAGAAGAGGACCATATGAGTGGCCAACTACAAGTCCAGACGTAACTTCCTATAATTTCTTCTTACAGGGATAGGCCAAAGAAATGATGTATCATATCAAACAACATATTGTAGATCAACCAGAGAAAAAATACAGGTGTTACAAGTATTCCATCTCCATTCCTGCAGCAGCCATCGACGTAATATATACATGTTTGCAATAGCTAGTGGAAAATGCAGGAGCATATGTTGAAATTTGATTATTTTATGTTATTTCCCCATAATACTCTTACCATTAATTCTTGTTTTATTAAATTAGGGTGAAATTTAAGAGTTTTATAGTATTCAAAAATTTACTAGATACTTATCAGACATCCTTCATAAACAATATAAAACTTGTTTTTTATATATAGTAATCTTCTTTAGTTATGTAATTTATGAAAAAATAAAATAAATTATAATTATTGCATTTTAAGTAATGCAACAATTATAGTTCAGTTTTCTCAACAATACATCTAATTCATATTAAAAAAAACAACAACATATATTTGTAAACTTTAAATTAAAATATACCCTTGTGAACTTTGAACACATTTCTTCTGCTTCTTTGACCATATTAGCTCTCAACATGTACTTGGCACACTTGGAATTTATGTAACGATCGGCTGTATCCAGTGCCTGAGCTTCATCTAAACACTTAACCGCTTCCTGAATGTTTCCTGCATGCTACATAAAACAAAATTAATTTAGCAGAATGCTGGTAAAATTTGCATAAAATGTTTTAAAACTAAGTTATAAATAAGCAGTTACAATTGTGGATCACTGCCGACCAGTACTTCAATAAACAGTTGTTGCATGCTCAGTGTAAGGCTGTGTGTCATTAGAATTGCATCAATTCTAATGATTCACAAGTAAATATTTAGTATTCAACAGCAAGCTGCTAGAAACATCTTACTGTATTATTCTTCATGGCAATCTTCCAAACCAAAACAACTTGAATAATTACATATATTTTATTTAGGATAATATTTATTTTCCTTATTGTTTCCTAAGTTTTTGAAAGTGCTAATAAGATTAACCCTTTCAAAATAATTGAAGTAAGAAATATTGAAATAGCTGTCAAATATTTATTTGTATAGTTAAAATGATAGATGGAAATTACAATTTCCACCGATCAATTTAACTATACAAATAAACATTTAAACCTGAATATACAAACCTGAAGATGATCTCCATTTGTAACAATTTCCAAGATTATAACTAATAATTTTTAATAAATAAATAATTATTCATATATACAATAATATACAGTTATAAATTTGCAAAATTGTATATAAATTGCATAACATTACTAGCTTGTATATATAACATAAAGGCAATAAAGTACTCTTTTAATTCAGTCTTGAACAACCCATGGCCTGCATTCAGCCATGAGATCCTATTGAGCAACCCCTGGAGCTTTGGTAACATTACTTTTCTGTTTTCTGCCTCGACCCTACTTAAACTGATATTGGGGCAAAGAACCTTTGAACTAAACTCGACCAAGGTCTAAAAAAAATTAGGAATGAACTATATATTATCAGTTTGCACACCATCAGCATGTATTATTTTAGTATCTAGTGTATTGACAGTTATGGATTGTTAGTACTTGGTCGGCTTAAAACTTGTAACTAAGAAAGAAATGCATGAGGCCTGCTGGAAGCCTACAAAGTTTACTTTCAAGTCCATACATTTGATGATGAAATGCTTGAATAGAACAATGACAAAAACAAAAAGCATGCCATTGTTCTATTCAAACATTCCATCAGAGAATATATAAACCCGAAGATCTCCATTTGTAGATCAAAAACGTTAGTCCAAAAGTTCTATTTAGAGCTACGTGCTGCACTTGTGCATAGAGTACAGTCCAATATTGCTCATGCACATTAGAGAATAATAAAATGAAATCATGCTAAGCACTAAATATAAAATTGACTTAAATACTTTAATTTACAAATAATGTCATATAATCATTTCTTAGATTTAAGAGAAAGTATTAAAACATACACCAAAATTACTTACTTTATATATTCTGGCTTTAACTACAAATAATTCAATTAAGGTTGGGGTATGTTCGATTGCGGTATTTATATATTTAAGTGCTTTTTCTGTACAACCTAGATAATCGTAATGTTGTGCTAGAAAATAATATGCCCATAGAAGAGCGGTTGCTGGTTCCTTTTCACACGTGTCTTTATCTACAAAGAAACACAAATTAATAACTACTTCTAGAACTTAACACAATTGTCATTACATTCAATTTGGGAACGAATATGATATAATATAGTGATAATTTTACTTTTCTACTATTTAATCATTTAAAATATAAAGATTGTTAATGAGAAATTAAATTATGAAGATTTGAACAAATACACAATTTGTTTATTGAAAATCAAGTGTGTGACATAAAAAAATAAACTGCTATTTTATGTAGCATATTAAATTATTAGATCTTTGAACTGTCATTAAAACAAGTACAGTGGGTGATTGGTTAACAAACATAATCCGTTCCAAGACTTTGTTCGCTATCCGAATTGTTCGTTAACCGATTATCGATTTACCATAGGTTTCTATGGGAATTTGATTAATTCGTTCTGGAGACCCCCCAAAATAAAATATATATACTTTCTTACTACATTTATTCATATGCAATAATAAAAATATATATATACATGGTCTTGGATTTTTATTAGTAATGTTTTTTTCCGTTTGTGGGGTTAAAGAATCTGTCCAATGTCGATTGCTTTTCTGTCTTATTCCTGATTTTTCAAAAGTAATTAATAGCATTGTAATTGTAGAGATCCCTAGGCCTATTAACCTCAACCTGGTTTGGATGCCATTTTAAAACCGTTGTTCTGACATCCTCCCACCTCTTCAAAAGATCTTTAATAGCAGATATCAGCATAAATCTGCATTTTCAAAAGAAAACATAATAGAATTGTTTCTGTCAGAAATATTACAAGGGCTGGAATTACAAGGGAGTGTTTCAAAGTTTGTGGAAATTCTATCCGATCAGTATATACTGGGAAAACCGTTGATGTCGACGTCTCCTGCACTCCGAAAAGATTTGAATTGTTGCCTGAAGACAAAGGAAGACCAATCGGTATTCGTTATTTTACGTCGCTCCTTCTTGTGTTTGTTCAGTCAAGTGTTCGTTATCCAAACGTGTTCATTGTCCGGTCATAAAAATCTTTCGCGAAAGTGTTCGTTATCCAATTTGTTCGTTAACCGATCACCCACTGTACACATACCAACCTTTATTAAATATATATAATACATTCTAAATTGCAAAAAGACATTATATATTTTACATTACAATATTAAAAAAAATGTAATGAATGTTTTTACTAATAAACAGCCACAGGCAATAGGCATAGTTATTACGCCCGTCCTCCCAGAATCAGTTTGTTCATCATGCAAGTATCCTCCTCTTCAGGCAAATCATCAGTTAAGTGTAACACTTTGAATTTTGTTGTGACTATTTTCATGTGCTGCTTGTTATATGTAAGTAATACTACTTATATCTTTTATTTAATTTATACTTAAAATTATATTTTATGCAAATTACTTCAACATAAAATTTGTTAAAATAAAATTTTAACTTTAATCTAAAACCTGCATTTAATTAATTGCATATACAGTAGAGCATTGATTATCCGAATGAATTGAGGACTGGGGTTGTTCGGAAAATCGATATTTCAGATAACCGATTATGAATTCAGATAACCCAAGACATAGCCAAAGATCGCAGCTCCACAGTACTGGCGAAAATTTAAATTTGCCGACTGGGATTCTTTTGGATAATTGACTTTCGGATAATCGATGCTCTACTGTATTAAAATGATAATAAAATGTGTTGACTGTAACTAAAGAGTAATTTTTCTGATAAAAATTATGCACTCCAGAAATCGAAAATATGAAATCAAATCTCGGAAACACTACCGACAATTAATGCTTGTAGTTACCTAATCCAGAATGTAATGTTCTCATGTAACATAAGCATTGACTGAGCATTTCCCACATTATATTTGATAGAAAGTTTTTAAGTACAGTCAACCAATTTCTCTTCATGCAAAGAAATTAAATGTAAATTGGTGAAGATGATGATCTTAAAATTTCTTAAATTACTTTAGATGGGACATCGAAAAACATATCAAGACTTTGCAATTACAAAGCCTACAATTACTTTAACCAATGAAATTAGTATATTTTTTTTTTATTATTATTAAAATAACAAAATTGAACAATTTTCTAATTGATAAACAAAACAGAAACAGTTACACGGTTAATAACATTTTAATAACATTGATACTTTGAAAATTCATAATAATAAAAATATCGATTTTATATAAAAACTGTAAGAACAAATGAAAAAAAGAAAGTTACCTTCCTCACTAAAAACTTCCCACTTTGTCAAACATGCAACATAATTAAGAACGAGATCTTCTATAATTTTAACCTGGAAATAAATTTATTTATCAATCAATGTATTATTTTCAATATGTAATCATCCAAAAATTATTGTATATCAAAATTTAACATAATACAACAACACTTATAATATCAAAAATATGTCTTCTCTCATCAAATATTTCTTCATTTACATACATATACACAAATAATTACATTGTCACACTGCATATTCAGTAATATATATTAACACATGTGCAATATATTATTTTTGATACATTCTATTGGAGACATATGGAGCTCAGAACAGTTTTTAATAAAAGAACAGTAAGTAGAAGATAGAATAATTCCTTGATATATTATTGGTAATAATAGTTTTTCTGTCAAGTAAAACAAAAAAAAAAAAAAAAATCACAAAAATACACATCAAAATCTGTATTTTTAAAAATTTTACTACATACGAGGAGCATTCAAAAAGTCCATGTAGTGCTGCATGTTTCAACATACGTTCCAATTAAGTTAAAACCCTTTTCTGTATGGCATCACTGCCCTTCTAGTAAAAACCGATGCATTGGTTCTAGCCATCCCTGACTGTCAATTTACACGATACATTGGTTTTGCAAACATTTCACATAATCTGGAATCAAGTACTAGCATTCATATGGAAAATGCAAAACCCTGGAACCTATCCTCCTATTATCCATATAAATGTTAGTTTCGGGTTATACAGTTCCAATTCACACAAACTTTTGCAAATCAATCTACTGTATACGTTGATGGATTAGGTGTGTATGAAGGGTTTAAAGCTAACAATAACTATGTAACAAAAAAAGAATTATCATCATTAATAATCGATGCAGTTACAAAACAAAGGTAAAGTTTTCAATGATAATAGCTATAAATCAAGGCTCACAAAGTTGCTAATTTGTGATCTCATAACATTAAACCAATGCTTCCTCGAGACGTATTTCTAATCATAATTCACCTCCAGACCAACAGGAAAATATATTGTAAATGAGTGAAGCATACCATTACATAATTTATATTATAATTCACAAAGAACTTTCAAAGATAAATTTTGAAGCCCAAACAAGACAATTTCTAAAACTTTGACAGAACAGTTTTTTTTTACTGTGAGAAATAATGATTTGATGAAAGTTGGATTACAGGTCATAAACAGCCAATTATATATGAATTTAAATCTATTCTAATTGTCAAAATATTCTAAAAATTTCATGAAAATGTAACCGTAGTAACCAAATCCATAAAAAAGTAACTTCACTCCAAGTCCCATGAACATTTTTTGATATTTTAAGTACTGCATAGTTATATTTATTGTAATATATATATATATATATATATATATATATAATATAATATTATTGTACATTACAAACATTATACACATACACACATATATATATATATATTTTTTTTCTGTAATATTTCTATTCAAATATTTGACAGTTTACAATTATTTTGACACATAAAAGGTGTATTTACAAAGGGTGGATGATACTAGATAAAATATACAAGTCGTTTCTTGTCATGTGAAACATTTAGATGCCTCGCAAGATTAAACAGAGAAACACTTACAGTAAATTTTACTTCATCCTAATCTGTATTTATATTTATTTATTTCACCTTAACTACGCGGGTCTTTCTTCATGTAAGTCCTCTTACCTTTTTCGGATCAGAATATAACGATCTTAAGTCTACAAATAAGGGAGGAACACCTTTATGTAATGCTTTCCTCATGTATTGATCGACTAAACTACGAAACTGCTCGTCTGAAAATTTTAAAATTTTAACGTAATTAGAAATTTGTATTATAAAAAAATTAAGAAATTTAAACATTTTACGAGGGTCGTTCAATAAGTCCTTAGAAAAAGATAGAAAAACAAATTATTTTAGGTAGATTTTTTTTTATTTTTCAACATAATCTCCTTTAAGCTCTATACACTTTTCCAAGCGTTTCTCCAACTTTTTTAAGCCATCTAAAAAGTAAGATTTCGGAAGGTCCTCAAAATAGGCATCTGTTTGGGCGATGACCATCTCGTTTGACATGAATCGTTGTCCGCCAAGCCATTTTTTTTTAAGTTTGGAAATAAAAAAAAGTCACTTGGGGCCAAATCCGGTGAATATGGTAATAATTCGAACTTTAATTCCGTGATTTTGGCCATTGAAACTGCACAGGTGTGCACCCGTGCATTGTTTAGATGGAAGAGGATCTTTTCCTTTTTCAAATGAGGACGTTTTTCCTTGATTTCTTTGCTCAACCAGTGCAATAATGATGCATAATACTCTCCAGTTATTGTTTTTCCTTTTTCCAAGTAATCGGTGTAGATGATTCTGTGTGTATCCCAAAAAACCGTGGCCATCACCTTCCTGGCCGATTTCACTATCTTCGCCTTCTTTGGAGCCCTTTCGCCTTCAAAAACCCACTGTTTTGACTGTTCTTTGGTCTCTGGAGTATAATAGTATATCCATGTTTCGTCCACAGTTATGTATCGACACAGAAACTCATCAGGATTGCGACGAAAAAGTGCCAAAATAGCCTCAGAGTGGACCACATGATTACGTTTATTCTCCACTGAGAGCAAACGCAGCACCCATCTTGCCGAGATTTTTTTCACACCCAATTTTTCATGCAAAATTGAAAATACTGTACCTTGCAATATGCCTGTGGCCTCAACTATTTCACGCACTTTGATTCGTCGATCACTCAGAACTATATCGTGGATTTTATCAATCGTTTTGGGAGTAGTCACTTCCACTGGACGTCCTGAACAACGTTCATCTTTTGTGGATGTACGACCACGTTTGAACTCATTTACCCAATTGTAAACAGTTGCAAACACAGGAGCAGATGTGCCATGAACTTCATCCAACTCAGCTTTGATCTCTTTCAGTGTTAAGCCTTTTAAATATAAGTGTTTAATCACCACTCGAAACTCACTTTTTTCCATTTTTCTAAATAAACAAAAGTTTCTTGCTTCAATCAACAATAAAAATTAAACCATGTGATGGATATGACTGAGACTTTCACAACTGTCTAGTAAGACATGATGCTTACAAAAAACGCGCCATTTTTTAGGCTACGAGCGCCATCTATTGGATTTTCTAAGGACTTACTGAACGACCCTCATAATATTGATAAATATCTAATTTTAAAAAAATAGCAAATATTAATCTGACTAAAACAACTTTAAAGAATTAACTACAATAAATTGCATAAATTTAATGTTAATTATAATTCTTATCAAATTATATTTAATGTTAAATTTATGCAAAATTCTTTTAATAAAATTTTTATAATTATCTGAAGCCAATATTAAATTCTGCATTTTACCCAAACTAATATACGAAACTTTTCTGTGCACGTTGCCAACCTGTTTACTGTAAATACAGTCTTCCAAAAAGAATGTTACCATTTTAAATTATTCTAATTATTATCCAAGAACGTTGAAATGCACATTAAAACATTGTAAAATTGCCCAAATGTCACATTTGCCCATTACGATTTCTTTGTGCATGCATCTCGTGTCACACAACGCATATCCAAACAATACCCAAATTTTTCCTATACCCACTACAGTGTATCCATCATCACTCTCCCAAGGCAGCCACAATTCTACAGCTCCTGCAACTTAGTTGTGTTGCACAATGACGAGCAATTTCAACTTTGCAAACGGAGGGAACAAAACACCTTCTCTGTTGAAGAGTTGCTATTTTTGTTTATGGTATATTTCCTAGATGCCGTAGACAACAAGACGTTTAAATACAGACGGGAGACAAAACTCGAACGGTTACTCTATTGATTGATGTACGTTGCATACTTCTCGAATAGTAATCGATATAATTTTAATGATTTTAAAATGGTATCATTCATTTTAGAAGACCCTGTATATTTATAATTAAAAACTGTAAGACATTAATTATATTTCAGTTAAAAAAATATATATTAAAAACTAATTAAAAAGCATTGGGATAAATGAATATTTCTTCAAGCTAAGATTTTAAGTTTATAGTTTCAATTATTGACCTTTATTCTAAATACATAAATGCCATTCAAAAATTTAAATAGAAACACTGCAAATTCTCTAAACAGATTGCACTCTCACTTCTCCAAACAAATTATTTTATAGAATTGTTTGAATTAGTGGATTATACATAAGAAAGAGTAAAAAAAAAAAAGGTCTACAAATTAATGTATGTATTTAAATTGTATTCAGTGTGTATGTTTATGTAAAATGTGCAGAGCATATTAATTTTACAAATTCCTCTTATTTTAAAAAATAATAATTTAATGCAAAAATAAAATCTGTTTAATTTAATGGAATTTGAGTTAGCAAGAATATTTGAAAATATAAAACAAAAAAATAATTTTTTTTAAAGTCTACCTCCCCTTGGACACTAAGAGGGCCTTATTTTTTTTATAACAAGCCCAGTATGGATTCAAGCAGGCCAGGTGGTGAGGGACAAGATCCTATATAATCTGGATGAACCACCCCAAAAAATTTCTGGGAGGTTTTGACCAGTCTGGATTTAGTCCCAGGTCCCCATAGCTGTAGGCCGACACCATAACCGCTCAGCCATCTGGCCACAAGAAAAATGAATTATGGTTCTTAGCTTTTCAGAATGCCACAATCAATTTTATCATCATCAAATTTAATCTTTCTACATGTAAAACAAAAATAAAATAGTAATAATTGCTAATGCATTTCTGTTTTTTATCATTAATAATTTGATATTTTGTGAACATAAAATCAAAAAATGTATATTTTTAATGAAATTTTATTCTGAAAATACTTACCCATTGTAAAACTAATAGGAATTCTTCTAGGAGTTTGAGCTCTAGGATATTTTAATTGATATTCCCTATAAATTTTCAATCTATCTTCTATTAATTCTGAAAATATAAAGAATTTTCATGAAGTATAATCTGTCTTTAAAAATAAAGAATCTTTAATGGCAAAACTTGGTTAAACATAGCAATAATATACAATTAAAAATTTCTCAGTTTGACCAATTAAATAAATAATCCAACTGAAGGAAAACATACAAAGTGTTCCTTTGATCTGTCTCAAAATTTTAACTTATAATCAATTAACTGTTTACTTCTAGATGTAAATAAATAAATAACTAATAAAATTTAATGTAAAATTTATTCACATTTTCTATTTATGAATTTCATTTACAAACTAGAGATTTACCCCATTAGACGTCTGCCAATTAATAGCTGCCATTAACATATGCAAAATATCTTAAACATAATAGCTATAAAAGCTTCATAAGCTAATGTTTTATGGCAATTATGCTATAATACTTCCACATATTAAACATTGCTGTCAACATTTAGGTTTTAAAAACATAAAATATGTGTAAGATACAAAATGTTCTCACAAATTAGTCTTTCTTGATCACCGGTGACCACAATCATCATCTAAAAAGATGATCTTTTCATTGATTAAAACAAATTAAAATGAGAACTAGTTAAAATGTTCTCTGAAGACAATGCCATAATTAAAAACAAATAGTCAATTTGGCCAATTTTAATCAAATATTTGTTTTTTATTACAGCATTGTTACCAGAAGACATTTTAACCAACTTGCATTTCTGCAGCGACATAACCTCTAATAAAAAAGATGGTCATACTGGATAAAATATAATACAGTAGAGCATCAATTATCCGAATACCAATCAACCAAAACATCGGTTAACCGAAAGCGTTCCACTCAACAAATTCAAATTTCTGCTAGGGCTGTGGCATTGCAGCACTCTTCTTATTCCTGCCAAACTGAACTTTAGGCCTAGTTTAATGTATTACATTATGTAAGGTATGTATTTGTAAGACGTGTGACACAAATTATATACAGTACAGTTTTGTGTTTAATATATTTTTTTGTAAATGATCAGTTATCGGAACAACCACAGTCCCAAATTGTTTCAGATGATCGATGTTCTACTGTAATCACAAACTGTTTTTAGATTTTAAATTCTAGTTAAATATTATATTTAATATGAATCCCAATACAAGTTTTCTTTTTTTACTCTTTCCATCAACTGGATATCGACACAGTCTTTTCATCAAGTCCACTGCGGATTCATCCAGATCTACAATGGAAAGACAAGGTCTAAAATATTCAAGACAAACCACTCCCCCCAAAAACATTTGTTAGGTTATTTTTGATCCATCCTGATTCATTCCCAGGTCTGCTAGAGCAAGAGACCAATAGCTTAACTATTTAGCCATCCAACTTTGCAAATTCTTAACCTATCCAGTGTTATTCCCAACATATCTCAGGTTGCAACCTGCTAACCAATTGACCCGAGATAACTCGTTTCAGCGTAAGAACGTTTTTGAAACTAAATGTTGCCAGCCATTATAATTTTTATATTAAAATTAACTTCCAAAATATAATTTTTTTTGTTTTTACATTTATTAATATATTTATTTTGTTTGTGTGGAATAAAAAAATAATTTCGAACGATACAACAGCCACAGTTATTTTTTTCAAAAACGTGTAATTTTCATTAGACGTTAAGTCTAATGAAAATTACATTGACAAATTAACATTGACAAAAATTCAATACGATACAACATGCAACGGAGATAAATTTCAACATCGGACAGGTTAAAGTTATAAATGTTCTTTATTTATTAATTTAATTAATTATTCTACTTTTATTTCCGTAAGATTTTCACTATCAATCCTGACTGTCACTAATCTAAAGTTTTAATCACACCTGTTATCAATATTCTTATCTGTTCAATAATTATTTGCAAATAAATAAATCTACATTACTGTCTTTGTTAAACCATTGTTTTTTAAATATTTATAACTCCTCTTTCTATTAGTTCTAGCATAACATGCACAAGTAATAATATTTGCTCTGTGATTTTTATTTTAAAACCAATTTATTTTTTTACAATTTATTGCTATTTTATTACCTAATAGTAAATGTGTTAACCAATTTTATTCACATTTATTAACATTTCAAACAATTTTCTTATTTATGAGAGTATGATTTGAATCAATGAATTAGGAATATCTTCAATTCTAATTAAGAGTTCATCAATATTCGACTAAATTGAAGTATTTCCTAACTTCAATTAATAATCAAATTTTTAATGAGATAATTATAAAAATTACTTTTCACTCATTCCATTAAAAACCCAAGATGTAATTAAAATTTAAATTTAAGACAAATCAAGAAAAGTGTTTTATTTATAGTAAGGTAAGAATAAATATAATCAAATCGTTCTTACCTGGCCTTAAAGCATTTTCTAGACCTTTATAATAAGCATGATTTTCTGGATTCCTATTAATTAATTCTCTAAATACCTTCTCAGCTTCGTGATACTTGTGTAATTTTAGCAATAAATTGGCTAAAGAAAAAAAAATATAAATTATATAGATACTTACAAACACACCTTTTTTAACTTAAAAACAAAATTTACTGCAATTTCTTATATCTGTTATATGACACTGATTTCATAATAGTACATAAATTTATATAAATGCATTACAAAACTGGAAAATCATTTTGTAAATTGTACAAATTATTACTGTAGTGTTAGTCCTGCCCATAGTCCAGCCAGATGAGACAAAATTGTGGGATGTTTTTTTGAAACTCACATGACACTTTGGGACCAACCAGTGCCATTAGTATAGAAGAAAAAGCAGGGAATTTGATTCAGGAAAGCATCAAACTGTGAAATGAAGCCAAACCCAACCACTTACTTACTACACACCTATACTAAAAAACTTCATATGTAAGCAGGATAAAATGTTTAGTAGCATAGTTTTTAGTTAAAAATCATTATTTTATATAATAAAATTCAAATAAGAAATCATTTAATATTTAACGATTTCTTATTTAAATTTAATCATATAACTTAATTAAATTAATTCTATTAACTTTATTTATAAAATTCTACAATATTCAAATGCAAAAACACCCAAAGATATTTCTTACTAAATGTTTATTGAATAACAGAACAGTTAATGTTTTCTTCTTCCCTGCTTAACGATTTCAATCCTGCTTTTCGTGTAGAATTTACTTGTCGGTTTATCAAATTTATCATCAATAAAGATAAACAATTGTGTACAAAAATTGGTCATTTAATTTTTATGTTAAAATTGATTCTTTCATTATTAGGGACAGAATTTTATATTTGTAGATTACTTTGAAAAATTATTAAGTTCAAAATTTTTTGTCATTAAATTTACGAGGGCTGTTCAAAAAGTATCGGACCTTTGGTCGGAAAAAATACATTTATTGATTTTGAGGTACAAAACCCTAATCCCCTTCAAAGTAGTCTCCTTGGTAGTGTATACACTTCTCCCAGCATTCCTGCCATTGCTGGAAACACTGTTGGAACGCATCTTTTGGAAAGGCCTCAGCCGGTCCGTTGCATTCCGCACAATGTCTTCTCTCGACTAAAATCGGGTTCCTTTTAGCGGCATTTTCATCTTGGGAAATAGCCAAAAGTCACACGGAGACATGTGGGGAGAGTACGGAGCGTGACGAATCACAGGAGTGTTGTGTTTTGGCGACGAAAGCCCGAATCAGATGCGCAGAATGGGCGAATGCATTATCACGATGGAGCTGCCAAGTTTTGATCAACCACAGATCCGGTCATTTGCGTCGCACAGCATCGGAAAGACGACGAAGGACCTCCTGGTAGTACTCCTTTGCGATGGTTTGGCCTTGTGGTGCGTACTCACGATACACCACCCCACGAGAGTTGAAAAAACTGTCAACATGACCTTGATATTGCTGCGGACCTGCCACGCTTTTTTTGGCCTCAAGGATCGTCCCCGAAAGCCTGCTGAATCTTGCGAATAGTTTACGCTTCGGTATCGCCAAGGTTTTTCGCAAAATTTGATGTAATATCGCTGCTCACACTGTTCAGTCATTTTCCAACTTAGTGGAATCTGACGAGAGCTCACTACATGTCCTCACTCAAAGTCCGACTGCCAACGACTGACGCTTCCTGCAAGCGGGAAAAAATTCAGAGCTGTGCATGACTGTCCCCTCCACAACTCCATCGAAACAGGCCTCCCGCGCATCATTGGTTTACATGGAAAAAATAAAAGTCCGATACTTTTTGAACAGACCTCGTATATTAACAATGAAAGTATACTTAAATTTTAGTACCAAGAAATTAAGAGCCATAGTGAAATCTAAAACTTTTAATTTAAAAGAATATTCTTTTAAATTAAAATGTAGAAATTTTATGATGTACAGTATTTCTATCCGTCATATATTAATGATTTTTCAAGCTTAAAAAGCCAGCTTATATATTATAATTTAAAATATATTCTATTCTATTGCAATATATTTTCATTCTATATATTCTATTCTATTGCAATATATTTTCATTCTATATATTCTATTAACTGGGCAATGTGATATGACAGAAATTTGTCAGCATCAAGTTGATCTATTACAATTAAATGTATGTGCCATAAAACTGTTGTGTTGCCAGTAAAAGAAATTAAAGATTTAATTTAATCTCTGAAAAGTTATTGTTTAAATACCTTTGGTTTCCATAATAGTTAACCTATCACAAATTTGATCTTCATATTTTTCTAGATGTAGCAATGCTTCTTCTAAATTTCCAGCTTCTTGTAATACTGTGTTCTGATAGAGTAGTAATTCACTATGTTCGTAATCATACCCACGCTTCTATAAAAAGTAACACTAATTAGTTTTGAAAAGACTTATAAAATCTGAAGTAGTTTATTAAAAAAATATTAAAACTATTTTCAGTTTACAACTTTAATTTACTACATTCTACATAAATTTTATATGAAATTCAATTTGTTCAGAAACAAGTGGCTGAATACCACATTGTGCCACTATTTCTCGAAAGTACAACACTATGGCAAATCCGCGAGAAAGCGGATCTACTGTCAATTGACCGAGGGATGTACGAACTCGGCCCCTTAAATATGGCAGAGACCCAAATCTGAGTCAGAATGCAATAAGCCACTTGGAACATAAAGTCAAGACTTAGATTACATGCATAAAACCAGATACGGAAAGGTCACAATCTCTTGCCTTATGGAAGCTTAGAATAGGAACTGATAATGTGAAATCAATCCCAGTAGCACAAGTAAGAAACATTGTCATCAAAACAGAATGGCTATCACTCAGAGGAAATCACGTGGCTGATGGAATTGTCTGGCTGAACTAGTTCCGCTCAGGCACTCTACTCTCAGACATAAATTTCTTTGGCAGTGAAGATTTCTCATTTAATAAACTGCTTTGCACTATGGATACAAGTATCTCCTTTTGTGTCCACACCCTTGTGTAATTTCACCACAGGAAATACAACTTTTTAGTATTGAATTTTCATTGTGTAAGGTCATGCATGGCATTACATTACAATTCTTAGTTTATTCCATAACAGAAATAATCTAATATCAAGCTCATATTTATATACAGGCTGCTCTCATTTTATGGTGTTTGACAGTAACACTGGTTTCAAATTTTTCCTTCTAGTTCTCAAAAAATTCTTCCACTGTGTGTAGAATATTTTTAGTAACTACTAAAGCAAATATTTTTTTTCATGCCTGATGGTAGCATTAGCAACAACTTCACTTTAATAGCAATTCTAAACAGTTCTGGTTTCTTTATTATTTTGAAGTGTTTATTATTCACACAGTATTTTACAATTCAAAGATAAAATTTTAACAGTACCTATTTTAAAATAGAAAAAGAACAGCCAAGTCAAATAAAAAAAATTTAGTAAACCTGAATGTCCAAGTCTGTTGTGTGAAATGAATCCCGACTGAGAACAAAGTGTCTTCGTGAAGAGTTTATAAAAAGCCTTAACACCTTATTATGAAATTCCCAAAAAAGAAAAATAGACACGGCCAACAACTTTGGATTTGTATCTTACAAAAAGGTGCACGATCCTATGTCTAGCCCATTATCAACGGATGATCCTAAGCCCGTTCCATCCAGAACTGAATCAAAGTCACACCCAGTGGCATTGTTGTACGAGATCAACAGTGGCCAAATAAAAATTCATTGTTGATTTCAGCTATAAATAAATATGCCTAAGATATTATTATTAAGTAACATTTTGTTACTGATCATGTTTTTATTGAAAAATACATATATTCACCATGGATGCCCAAAACACATCCCTATTTATTTCATTATAAAATAGATTTATTTTGTGCCAATTTTAAGTCTTTCTGCAATAACATAAAAGTTCCAAAACATTTAAATTTTAAACTAAATTATGAGAAACTATTTGTAAATTTTGATTGATAACTTTTGTTTTTTAAATTCTATTTAAGATACTTAAAATCAATATTCCATCTTAAATCGGCCAAAACTTTCAATTTTTTTAATATTCAACTTTAACAAGTTATACTAAAAAATTTTTTTCTGGAACAAGAAATTTGTCATAAATTACTCTCATAAGACTAACTGAAAACAAATCATCATTATTAACTACACTCACAAAATTGATCAAAATTATGCCTTGCAAAAGTTTTAATGCAAAAAATAATCATTCACAAATATAGATGTTTACCGTTTGTGTTTTTCGAAATTCTTCTAGAATTTTTAAAGCCATATCGTAATCTTTTAGTAAATGATATGCCATTGCAAAACCAATCCATGATGCTCGTTGTGTCGGCCGCAACATGAAGAGCTGATATCTGGTATCCTAAATTTAAAAAAAAAAAAAGATTTACATGTAATTTCTTTAACAAATTATTAAAATTTATTTATATAAATATAATGTAATGATAAAAAATTCACTTTCCATTGTTTACTTTATATTTTAAGGATATATATATATATAGTCGGTGTCCCAAAGATCAAAAAGCTGGAAATCCGGACCACTTCTGGTCCCAATCTTGTCAAATATTCAGTCCATAATGTACTTGCTTTTGTCTTCTCTCCTCATTATTATAATTAGATTGTTAAACTAAAATATTTTTTAAAGTTTCACCACTGTATTATCCGGAAAACTTAACATTATCTTTCCCTTCTGATTCATTTAATTTTTATTGTAACAACACAGAAATGTTATAGAATGCTGTAATTTAAAAATATTTTTGAATTCTTGTAAACAGGAGAGGGATATGGAAAAGTGTAAACAAATTTTCTACTCTGATGTACTTTTACCTTTTAAATGAAGAGTGTAAATAATTTTGATACATGATTTAACTTTCAATAATTTTTTTTATCATCATTTTTGTACATTCATCTGAGAAATTTCTCTGAATCCAGAACAACTAGAGAGCCAAAGCTCTCAGTGAATTTACTTTTTTAAATGAAGTTATTTATTTATTTTAGTGGAACACCAAATATCTGAACTGTCAATTAACTAAATTCATTGTGACAGAAGAATGAAAGCTCAATCTTTAACATACACTCTTCCACCTGTCAAGTCCGCCCAAGTAATTGTTATCCCTGTCCATTTAATCTTAACTAGCAATTGTTGTTTGTAGTGTTGTAATCTCTTTGATTTTCTAACCCATTCTAATTTTTATGGACATTAAAATAATGTTAACAGTATAAAATAATTTGTTGAAAGAGAAAGCCATAGAAATTCACTAAACACACAGTTTTATTAATATAATAGTGTTTTTCACAAATAATGACACTTTTTTTTTAATCTGAATTTTCAATTATTTGAACTGTCTTTTACCATGAATTAATTTGGATAATTAAAGTGCCAATATAATTTTATTATTATTATTAGTTTTTCTTTAAGCAGAATAAATATTTATCATACCATCAAAAATAACAATTAGTCGTGATAATTAAAGATTTAGTACTGTACATATAGTACAAGAGGGAGCAGGAAAACCTAGATTGTCCTGACGTAAACAATGAATTGTGCACCATATATAAAGGGTGCACAGTGAAAGTCCTTATACACTGATACGTGTGAGTGGTGCACAACATATGACGTTACCCATGTAGTTACAAATGCAGTTCAAAGAAACGAGAAATACGCATTTCACTGTCTTTGTACAATGTACACATTAGCATTTCATACTTTCTATTCACATTATTCATGTATGCAGTGTGTCTTTTGAACTGAAATTGGTTCTGCTCTATGACTATGTAATTGACCTTCTTTCTGTATCATGCAACGTTTTCAAAATGGAAACACTAATTTCTGAGTTTTGCTACTAGTGGCTCTGCAAGAACTCTTGTCTATACAAACTTTATGTTCATCATCCAATTACATGGCTGTATAAGAACTTTACTATGCATCCTGTATACAGAGTATACATACAGAATAAATTCTGTAAGCTCAAGTGTATGTTTATATATACATTCTTAGATATTTTAACATAATTTTTTTTGCATGCTACGAGCAAAGATGTTCATATTATTACAATTTTGTTAAAGTATATAATTTACACTATCTCAGATTACAAGACTCTATTTAATACAATCGAGTCTTTATTTTTTGGAGACACTCATTTTGTTTAGTCATCATTTGTAGAAATTATCTGCAGTGGAATACTTTTTGTAATCTACCTGTTCAACAAAGTGGAATTGTCCAGCACTGTTATCTCTCATCGTTAATGGTATCATCCATACGGATTTATTCTGCAACCTGCACTGAGATCTGTTTTAACATAATTTTTTTGCATGCTACGAGCAAAGACGTTCATATTTTCACAATTTTGTTAACGTATATATTTTACACCATTTCAGGTATTTCTATTTTGTTTTTATTGTATTTAATATACATTTCTATTTTTTAATACCGTTTTATTTTAATCGTCTGTTGCACGTGATATATGCAAGCTCAGTCTATCTATTTTATATAATAATATATTGATTTATCTATTGCTAGTTTATACATTTTTGATAGTTCCTCAACATCTTCATCTTTGTTCATAGTACAGTCGACCCCCCCCCTATAATTACGGTCCCAATAATTACGATTCCTATAAAACTGCGAAAAAATTGTGACGGTATCCGTAAAAAAACAGTAAAAAACCCCCTATAATTATGTAAAACGTCATCGGGCAGCCGAATTACTTTCCACGCCGTCCGTAGCGCCACGCTACGGAGAGATTTCTATCGTCTAGACAGTATTATATAAATTATCGTATTAGCCCGAATATAACGCGATATTTTTCGACCATTTATTTTCCGTTAAAAAATCGACTCGCGCTAAATTCGGGGTTTAAGTAATGGAATGTAATATAAACA